AGTCTTTAAGAAATGAAAGACTATGATAGAAAATAAGACAGACTTGAAGTTGAAGTGTCTCAGATTAGATGATGGAGGTGAATACCGTGATCAGAAGTTCAGGAAGCTTACTGTCCCAAGGACACCACAACAAAATGATCTAGTTGAGCGCATGAATAGAACAATCACAGAACGTGTTAGAAGCATGAGGTTGCATGCATGTTTGTCAAACAGTTTTGAGTTGAAGCAGTTATCACTGCAGTTTATTTGATTAATCGTAGTCCGTCAGTATCTTTGGAGGAAGGCTTACCTGAAAGCCTGAAGTTACAAAAAGGTAGGTCTATCTCATTTAAGAGTTTGGGTCTTCTGCAGATGTACATGTTGATGCAGGTTTTAGAAGCAAGCTTGACTCGAAATCTGTCAAGTACACCTTCATTGGATATGACTCAGATGAGTTTGGATACAAATTCTGAGATTATCAGAATCAGAAATTCATCGGTAGTAGCGATGTCACTTTCAACGAAATGGAGATTTACAAGGACAGAGTTAGAACTCATGACAGTCCGTCAGCTATTTCTGAAAATTCTAGATATGTGGAGATAGATGAAACTGGTGATCATGAGGTTGGATAAAAAAGAAGTGTTCAACCAGAAGGAGCACTGAAAGTTCCTCAAACACCTGCTATAGAATTTAGAAGATCCAGCAAAGTGAAGCAACCCATACAAAGGTATCACTATTTGTTACTAACTGATAGTGGTGAACCAGAGTGCTTTTATAGGGACACTCAAGTTGAAGATTCAAGGGAGTGGGAGCTCTCCATGGATGAAAAAATGCAATCTTTGGAGTCAAATCCGACATGGAATTTGACGGTACTACCAAAAGGCAAAAGAGCACTGCATAACAAGTGAGTCTACATGCTGAAAGAGAAGTTAGATGATAGCAAGTTAGATGATAGCAAACGCTACAAGACAAGACTTGTGAAGGGTTTCCAGCAGAACGAAAGAGTGATTTATAAAGAGATCTTCTAACTAGTGGTGAAGATGACGACTGTAAGGGTTGTGCTGAATCTGGTAGCAATGAAAGGTCTACATCTGGAGCAGATGTATGTAAAGACAATTTTCTTATATGAAGATCTGGAAGAGGAACTGTACATGGTGCAACCATAAGTTTACAAGGTGTCAGACACAGAAGGTTTGGTCTGCATATTGAAGAAGAGCCTCTATGGCTTGAAGCAGACCCCAAGAATGTGGTACAGGAGGTTTGCAGGTTCATATTAGACAATGGGTACTTGAAGTGTCAGATAGACCACTGTTGCTTCATCAAACACTTTAGTAAATATTTTGCTTCTTTTGCATGTATATGACATGTTGATTCTATGGGAAAAAAATAAAAAAAAAATTAGGGACTTGAAGTATCAGCTATCAAGTGAGTTCGAGATGAAAGATTTAGGTCCAACCAGAAAGATCATCGGGATGAATCAATAGGGACAGTAGTGCAAGAACACTAAAGTTGTCTCAAACAGAGTATGTTAAAAAGATCTTATAGAGGTTCAACATGTAATTCTGAAGTAGAGCAAGCACAAATGAAGAGAATTCTGTATACTTCAACAATTGGAAGTTTGATGTGATGATTTGTATCAGATAAAATATTGCATATGCAGTTGAAATAGTCAGCAGGTACATTTATTGAGAGGCGGTAAAGTGGATTCTCAAATATTGGAGAGGAGCAGTCAGCAGAACACTTTGCTATGGAAGTGCAAGGATCAGTCTAGAGAGATTCGTAAATTCAGGTATGGCAGGAGATGTGGACAATAGAAGTATAATGGGGTATATCTTCACATTGGGGAGCACAACAGTGAGTTGGGTTTCCAGGTTGCTGAAGATCGTTGCACTTTCTATTACGGAGGTCGAATATGTTGTTATTACTGATGCTAGCATGGAGATGGTTTGACTACGGAGTTTTATGGCAAAATTGGGCAAGTAGCAGGGGACTGAAAAACTAAACAGTGATAATATGATGGGATTCATCTTGCTACGAACGTTGATTTTCATGTCAGGATGAAACACATCCAGCTCAGGTATCATTTCATTCGATCTTTTCTAGAAGATTGACACTTATTTCTGAAAAGATATGTACAGATGAAAATCCCATGGATATGTTGACGAAAGTGATAATTGTTGAGAAATTGAAGCTGTGCTTAGCTTCAGTTGGGTTTCATAAAATTTTGAAACTGGGGGTGAGCCACACCACGACACGTGACCATGGTACGTGATTATGAAAGTGATTCATATGGAGGTACATGTACAGAGGATGGGTGTTGGGTGTCATTGTCTCCAAGTGGTGGATTGTTGTGCATATGGAGCCAATGCACCCCAAGATCCCAACGCCTACGCACCGGGTTTGGGCGACAGAGAGGGGGCGACTTTACGCACCCTTTGAACACTCACGCGCACATATTTTTGGCGTTGACTAAGCAGCCGACGCTCAAGCGCCCGGTTTGCTAGGAACAATCCCAAGAGCTTGGCGTTTAGGCGCCAAATTTGGACGCCTAAGCGTCCAGTGCAGTTACTCTGCTTTCTAGGTTTTTAAACCAATTTCGAGCAGTGAAATGATGGGTTGTGTGTAGGTCTTCCATTGGTGTTCTTGAACAAATTTCTGATGAAGAAGAAAAGAATTGAAAAAGAGGATTTCTGGGATCTCGACATGTGGTTTTCGCGTCAAATCGGAGAAGGAAGATTGTGGAGCGTATTGTAAGTTTCTTCGTGTGAATGTGGAGAAGAAAATTGTATGGGTCCTTTGTAAAACTATTTAATTTTCATAGTGAATTTGTGGTGGTGTGACTGTTGATTTTTCCTATTCTTGGGCTTTTTCAAGTAAATTCTCATGTGTTTTTCTGGTTGTTTTGATTTTGCTTCTATGCTTAAATTTATTGTTCCTGTTTTCTCGAATCCCGCGATCCTATTCCGTTGTGACATTGAAAATTATTTGAAGGTTTCCCAACAAGTTTCACTCTATTGAATCAAATGTGCATTCAAACAGCTTTGAAGGACAGAATATGAGATGCATTGCCACATGATGCAACGTTTCGAAAAACATTCAACTAGGTGAATGCAGGGCAATTGGAGAGATATGAGATTGATGAAGAAAAGCTCTTGAAGTACAACGATATAATTTGTATTCTTGATGTGAATGGTTTACGCAAAGAAATCTTGCATGAGGCACATTATTCGAAATATACGATACATCTAGAAAGTAAAAAGATGTATCAAGAGCTTAAGGGTTTATTTTGCTGACCAGAGTTGAAGCGTAGTATAGCTGAGTTCGTGGCAAAGTGTCCTATTTGACGGATGGTTAAGCTGAGCATCAGAAGCCTAGTGGGTTGTTGCAACCTTTGCCTACACAAGAGTGGAAATAGAAGGACATTGTTATGGATTTTTTTGTGACGGGGTTACTGAGATCAAGGCAGGGTCGTGATGTTGTATGGGTGATTATTGATCGTCTACCAAGTCTGATCATTTCATGCCTATCAGACATATAGAGGAGAAGTTGGCCAAAATTTATGTTGATGAAATTGTATGATTGCATGGAGTCCCACAGTCTATTGTTTCAGATCGAGATGGTAGATTCACATCCAGACTGTGAGGAAAGTTCAAGAGGCTTTGGGCACTCGACTAACATTCAGAACAGCTTTCCATCCCCAAACAAACGATCCATCAGAGAGAATGATCCAAATATTGGAAGACTTGCTTTGACTTTGTGTTCTTGATTTCGGTAGAAACTAGGAAATACACATATCTGTGATAGAGCTTGCCTACAATAACAGCTTCCATACCAATATTGCTACGCTCCTTATGAAGCCCTTTATGGACGAAAATACAGGATACTTGTTTGTTGGGTAGAAACGAGTGAAAGAAAATTAATTGACGTTGATTTAGTTAATGAAACAACTGAGAAGATTTGGTTGATTCGTGACAAACTGAGAGCATTCCAAGATAGCCAGAAAAAGTATTATGATGCTAAGCACAATTGTAGAATTTGAAGTGGGAAGCGGTTTGGAAAATCTAGAAAGTTGAGTCCATGATATGTTGGTCCTTATGAAATCATGAAGAGGATTGGGAAAGTGGCATACAAGGTTGCACTACCAACACACATTTATGGGGCAATAAATATAAGAAATTAAATATTCAATCATTTTAATAAGTTGGAATTTAAAAAGCAAAGTACTATGAAGCAATAAATATTCATTCATTAAATAATAATAGGAAAATTTACATACGCAGCACACCATTCTTATTTATTTACATATCTCACACCTAAACTTACATATTTATAAATGAAAGCTTAGGTGTGAGGCATGCAAATACATAAGAATTGTGTGCTAGGTACGTAAATACCTCATAATAATAATATAATTCATTAATTAATATTTATTTATTAGATATTATATGACTATAATTAAAATCATCAAATAAAATTAAAATGAAAAGATAGAATTTGATATGGAGGAAAGCATAAGCCACTTTTAAAATAGCAATAAGATTGGCTTTTCGCATTTTCACTATTACGTCGTTTCAACTTTTCTTGAATTCATTAATAAATATTTATTCATAAATTAATAAGAAAAATAAAATAATCAAATTTTTTCTAAGCTGAAATTTTAAGAACTATGGATTATGAATAAATATTCACTAATTAATTATTAATAATATAATTTATAGATTTATACTTATTTATTAAATACCAAATCATTAAAATTGAAATTATCAAATCAAATTAAAATGATAGACTATAATTCAATATAGAGAAAATCAAAAGCCACTTTTATTATAGTAATAGTATATGAATACTCATTTTGCATTGCATCTGATGTTAACCCGAAATCAAATTTGAGTCAAAAGTGGAGTTCAAAATTGACTCAACTCAATTTCAAGTCCAGTATAAATTTAAGCTACTTTCAAACTAGTTTCCAATTTCAAGATTTTTTTTTAAACATCTCTGCACTTAACCAACAAAAAATTTACCTGAATGATATCTTCTCCGGCTAAGAGTTGGACCTTTTGAGGCACCATTTTGCTACTCTTGTCATCTCCAAACCCAAGCCTCCCATGTTCCCCTCTCCCCCAAGCAAATACCTAAGTGTAATAGAGAAACATAAGCCTTTTTTAACTTAAAAATGCAAGTAAAAGGGTATTAACGCACATTCTATGGCTAAGGTATGTCAAACAAAGCATGAAAGAAAATACAGAAAGATAGATATTTAAGAAACATGCTTTATAGACCGAGTTTACAGGAAACGAATGCAAATATCAAGCATTAACTCAGACTAACATTGACACAAGCAATCAACTCCATAATGCAACCCTTCAGTATTTTTAGAAGTCATTCATTTTCAAATACCTTCATTTTAAAATTAGAAATTTTCATGTTTAAAATAACTTTTGCAGTTCAATAATTATATATACTATTTAGTAACGTTAATTAGTTGGCCCCTTATGTTTTTCATATGCTGCTTTTTTCTTTAAGGATATTCTTAATGCATAAAGACAGACAATCATAAATTGATATCTTCGGTAATTATCCGATTACTTAAAAATTAAGGGATCTTATTTGTCTCACCGTAAGTTGAATTCAGGATATGTAAGATGTTTTCATGTAAAAAAGCACACACGATTCCTAACTCACCAATAATCAGTTACTTCAATCATTCATTTTCATTGAATGAAAACGTATAAAACTAAATTTGAAGTCCGGAAGCAAAGTTGATCAAATCATATTTCCAACATGCCACTTTATTATCAAATTCAAGAACACTAAAGAAACAATAACAAATCACATAGATGAACTACAAAAATACTTAATTTATCGAAGTAAGAAAATCAGACCCAATGCTAGCACAAGGAAATGAATTCCCTCGTATCACATATATACTGCACTTAAAGGAATAACACAGTTATAGTGGTATCACAAGATTGAATAATGGAAAAAATAATTTTTACTGAAAACCAAAATTTTTGAATTACATACCTCGTACCATTATTAATAGAACAAAAATCAGGCTAGTAGATAAGTACATAATCATTCTCAATGTAAACTTAAATTAATTTCAACAGAAAAAAATATGTCCGATTAAAATTGAACTCTCTGATTTAGCCGGCAACTTTTAGAATTTAACTGGGCCTAAAATGTGAAAAAGATCGAGCCAAAATTCAACTAGAGATACAGCCAAACAGTGCTGTCGGATCTTCAAAGACCTTCTTATTTTTTTAATGATGTTTCCTCACCAAATCCATCTAAATTCCACCACCCAAGCAGCAGCAGCACCACATAAGAGCATAAAAAGTGTTTGGTTCAGAGTTAAGTGAATGAAAAAGTTTTTTTTCCTCATCTTAAAGGAATCTAAGTAAAACCAATAAAATAAAGAGTGAAGACAACCTAACATTGTACCTACTTCAATTTTACTTAAAAATTTCAAAGGGTTTTATGCAGAGAAGTATACTCAAATAAATTTCTTAGGAGTCACACGCAAACCAAGCTATTAACAAGTAATCATCAAGGAAACAATATTTTCTTTCTGCTTAATTCCTGCAAACCAAGCAAAGACTACAATAATATTGGCAAATCGAGATGCAAAACAAATAATTTCAACCACCCAACCCCCCTGCAATTTTTAAACAAGAGGATAGATGTTAGAAAGTCAGACATAATTTCATTAACTCTATAATGCAGCCATGATATATTTTCACTTGTCATTCATTTTTTATGAATATGTCCTAAATTAAAAATACAAAAAATTGTGCGTAAAATATTTTTATAGCTTGATAATAATGTATGCTACTCCCTACTTCATTAGTTTTGATTCCATAGGGTTTATCTTAAACTTCTCACTTGCTTCTTTAACTAGGCATTCTCAGGGATATTCCCAAACTGAAGATGCAAAAGAACAAGTTACACCCACCAAAAAAATTTTACAACTTTTAGAAAATCATACAAAGCCCTTTTAATTCTATAATGCAGCCATCATATATTTTCAATCACCATTTATTTACTACGAATATGCCCTAATTTAAAAGTACAAATATTACTTCTTGCTCCTTTAATTAGACCTTTTCAATAGACAAATACGAATTTGCTAAAATTGAAAACTTGGGTCATATTCTTCTGTCCAATTGCTTTTATTTAATTTATTCACTTAATTAAAAAAATTTAGGATTGTTCTTAACAAAATTTAGGTTATTTATTTTTCTCATTAGAGGTTTGCCGATCCCACTTAGTGGGATAAAGTCTCATTGTTGTTGTGAGTGAAATTAAGTATATTTCTTATTAGCTTGACAAACAAAATCTTGAACATGCCTTGGAATTATGATTTCCGACCACAACTTAGGATCTTGGCTATGCTATTGAGCCCCAGTATTTCCTCATGGATTAGCCTTTTCAAGGTTAAAGTTTACCCACAGAACACCCACATTTTTTAGATGTGAGAGAAGTAGTTTAGTCTTTAAAAAAAAAATCAAACTTATTTCCAGCTAACACGATAATTCATCCTTCAAAAATTTAACTGGACATCTATTTTCAAAGAATATACCCTGATAAACTTATCAATTTCCATGTTTAAAACATCTTTTATAAGTTCATAATACTTAATATCATCTAGTATTTATTAGTTAAGACCACTATGTTTTTCATAAGCAGCTTACTTCTAGCTCTTGAATTAGACATTTTAATGTATAATAATGAATACTCTAAAATTGAACTTTTATAATCATATTACTTTTGTCCGCTTTCTTTATACTATTTATTATCTTAATTAAAAAAATTATTTTTGTTTTCAGAAAACTAAATTCAGTGTTTCTCTTAGCAACTTGGCATTGAAAAGCTTGTAACAAGATTTATGGGTTTTAGCTCACCATAGGGTCTTAGGTGCTACTGGACTCCATGTGTTTTCTCTTGAATTAGGCCTTTTGAAAATATTGGAAAAGCAAAAGATAACTCCATCTAACTGAATGTTGAAAACTTGTCAGAAAATCAACATCAAAGATAAAATATATATAATGCTTGTGGATCTGAAAATTCACACCTAATTCTTTTGAGAGTTTATTTTCACAAGTCAAATTTTCAAAAGAAATATCAGATTTTAGATGAGTTACTACCATAAAATTTTACTTGCATTTTAAAAGAAATTTATGAACTGATCTTAGATTTCACATAAGTGTATGTCCCTATAATAGATTATCCCTCTCCATGACAAAAGAGAACTTTTGATTTAGGGTAGTTGATAGACACTAGTGATTGGCTTATAGTAGCAACAGCTTAGGTCTTAGATTAAAGAATGATGCGGGAGACGCTAGTGATTAGCTTATAGTAGCAACAGCTTAGGTCTTAGATTAAAGAATGATGCGGGAGCTTACTGTTATGGCACTGTAGCAACTACAATACTGCAGATGAGGTACTGAACAACTATAATACCGCGATCCAGCCCTACCCTTTCCTTTTTTGCTTCCCTCATATTCCCTTTCTTTTTCTATGATTCTCCTATTTTACTCCTTACCTATTATGTGTCTTTCCTTGTCTATATTTTTCTTATTCTGATTATTACCTATTCTATTTACTAATTCCTATTATAAATATGTTGTTGGTATCCAGATTTTTTATGATTCCAGATTTTTGTTTGTTACCTTTGAGGCGTTCCTTCTGAGGGTTGTATCCGAAGGCAAGGAAGTGTTCGGCTGTAACTCGTCTAAGGTGGTGACCGTCTCCAAGGGTACGGGTGGTGCTCCGGCTGTAGCTCGACCCCGTCGTGATATGTATCGTTCCAAATTCCCCTCCACTTACTCATTCTCACCTCGCCGCCGCCCAATCTTTCGGTATTCTGTTGTCGTTTAGCCCTCCCGACACCTTCTAGCCACCGCATAGGCCTTCGGGCCCCTTGTCCTGTTGTTGTCTATGCTTCCAGTGGTCTTCCAACAGCTACCAGACCTAGCGATCGTGTTCCCGCTGCCCCCTGCCCCCTTCCGGGCTAGTTCCTACTGCTGCCAGCCTCTTCCAGGCTAGTTCTTGCTGCCGCCAGCCCCTTTCTGGCTAGTTACTGTTGTTGCCCAGACCCGACACCTGCTCCTGCTGCTGACCTGTCCACCTCAGACCCTACTTGCAGCTATCCAACCCATCGTTGCCTCGTTCGGTTGTTGTCCAGTCCGCCGCCACCTCTACTACTCTTACGTCGTCGTCACTTGCCATTAGCCTTCTCCCAGCAGGCCACCATTACTTCTACATCATCCAGCTCCGCAGTCACCGTCTGCCAACCACCTTCCAGCACTGTTGTCGCATCCTTCCTCCCCTTTGAGGCCTACTGCTATCCTCTAGCAAGTCGTTTTGTGTTATGTGTTATTTTCTTTCTTATTTTGCAATGTCGTCGTTTACTTATTATTTACTTGTTTATGTTGTTTTATGTTGTGGAGGCATCATTGTATCTTTGATTGAGTCCAGTAATAAAACTGTGTCGTTTGGTCTTGATTTTGGTTAACTCTGGTATCATTTGGTATCAGAGCTAGTCTAACTGCAGTCCTATTCAAGGATTTTCTAACATCAGTCATAACACAAAAATTATCTTTCCTACCAACAAATACCTTTTGCACCACCACATATCCCTAACCCTAATTCTTCCTTGTTGATTTTTAAATCAGCAACCTAAAACCAATTATTTTTACCCTCTTTCACCTCTCAAACCTAAACTCTAGCCATGCCACCAAGGAGATACATGCCCGAACCTACCCAAGAACTACCCTGGAAGAGATACAGTAAAAAAACCGCCAACTTCAGCGAAGGCTTGCAAACATTGAGGATGAAATCCAATGGGAGATTACCCTCAATCGGGATCGGGAGAGTCGAAGGTGAGCCAGGTACGAGGATTTGAATCCCTTCTATAGGGTGGACTTTAGTTATGCAAAGGAACGACCTCGACGCTTTGAAATTCAGTATCAGAGAAGGCCGAGAGATAAACCAACATATGGAGAATGGGAGAATCTAAAGATGAAATGGGAGATCTCCAGCGCTAGATCCTAACAACTTACTATAGACAGGAGATTCAGACACTAGCTTCAGAAGTAGAGAGCCCACTTCATTAGGCGACCATCGTGTT